CGTTGCACACCTGAATGGTGCTTTATTGTGAAGAGCCACCTCCTTTGTTCGTTCTGAACCTGATTTAGTTTCATTTAATGGAAGCACAGCCTGTTTCCCAAGAGGAACATTGTCGGGGGGCATTCACAGGGAAGGGCAGTGCTGGCAATGATGCACCAAGCCCATGTGGCTCCTTGCAAGGAAACTGGGAGCCACTGAGGGGACTCCACTGGTTCATTAAGTTTCTTCATCTCCACTAGATTTTTCTCAAATAGAAAAGTTATTAATATGACTCACGACTGTTGCACTGAAGGATGGAGTAAGAGATCTGGAGAGCTGTTCTCCAAACATCACAATTGCCTGGACTGAGACACTTCAAAGAACATTTAAACAGCCTCTGGCTGTCCATCAGGGCCACCACTGTCCCACTTTGATGTACTCATTATCCAGCATGTGGACACTTCCAGTAAGGCAAGTCTCATACCAGCCAGGTAGGTTAGAGGAAAACTCAGCCGCAGAAGAGGCACAAATCCTCTTCCTCTTCTTCAAAGAAATGCAAGCAACTTATCATTCCCCTCAAGGCTTTTATGTCTGGAGGTGGCCATGCCTTCTTCTCTAATGAGAGAAAAGAAACAACCAAACAAGTAAGTCAGGCTGTGTTGGCCAAAGTGTTCAACTACTATCATGTGTGAAGGAGAACAGGAACTGAAGAGGAATTACAAGCCAACAATGAGTCATGTTTTGCCTTCTTGTCTTTCTTCCAGAAGATAAAGAAGGATGAGTTTCCCCTTTAGATTCTCTAATTCACTGGGGAAAGGGGAAACCATGTTTTACTTTTAGCAGCTTTTGTTCTTGCGTGTGCTCCTGGACCTAAGGGCACAGATTGAGCTGCGCTGCTGGGGAGGCTGGTACATCTGACAAGCCAAACTGAACCGTCGGCATGAGCCCAGAGAATTTTCTTTCATTTCTATCATCATGCTTGAGATTTCTGCAGGACCAGGAAAAAAAAGAAAGATATTTGAGGACACTGGAGGCAGTTTTCCAAAAACAGAAACCTGCTTTTTGCCAAGAGGATTTCCTGAGCAATCTAAGTGGTTGAGGACCTTGTCTCAAACAAAGTTTGGATCAGTGGGGCATCTCCTTGTGCACAAATTGGGCTGAGGGATTTTCTTTCCTTTATGCATGCTTATTCCTAAACCTGGTCTTACAGCTAACTAGTGAGGACTGTTGTCCCTGGACACCAGCTCAGGCTCTGATAGCTTTTGTAAGAGCATTTGTATCAAAATATTGTTGTGCTGGAGTCTCCAAGGCCATCTGGGGCTTTGTGCAGACAGGGTGCTTACAAATGAATGTGAACCAAAGCAAATCAACATTGCTTGGCAGGGATGAAATGTATTGCTAGGGTCTGTCTCTGCCAAGCTAGACTGTTTGGCTCCAGTCCCACTCTTCGGGGGGATTGTCTGTCAAAACACAATTTGGTATTGTACGGCGTCATGGTTACATGGCTCACTACTCCTTTAAACCCTCTCAGGCCTTACGCTCTTGTTATTTGTTGAGCGGAAACCTGTGAATCTCCAACGCTTAAAGCAGACCTTGGGCTCTGGTACCTTGCACCAATTGCCCCTCGTGCCACTGTGTTGGTTCAGGTAGAGCTTTCCCTTAGGAGCTGTCAACCAGTAGATCGCAACCCTCTTGAAAGGAAGGCATTATTTCTTAATGCCATGAAATGATAAGAAGACATATCTTTGTACCATCTCACGATGGAAGCCTGGTTTCTTGGCCTAACCACCTCAAAAACCTGGTCATCCTTTCAAGATGGGAGTCCAGCTTGGACACTTGATTGACTCTCCTTGATTATCCCATCCCTTCATGAGTGGCACCTGCTGTTTCTGCTGAGCCCTGCCGGAAAGCCCAGAGGCCACCCATTAGAGGACAAGCCAAGACATCAATGTGAACGTCCTCAGAGGTTTGCCAAGAGGTGTATAATCATATCACCCTCGCCACTTCTGGACATGTTTCTGAGTTCATTCAACCTAAATATGGACATAGTAAATTATCACAGGGGCTTGGCCAAGACACGACACTACAGGCGTCTCCAAGGCCATTACATAGAGTTTTTGCTATAGTGAAAATCCTCAGTAAGCACTAATAGAAGTGCTGTCTCTGAGCACAGGTTCTGCTGGGCCACCTCCCATCCTGGAGGCCCGGTGAGGGGCAGCAGGAGGAGGACGTGCATATTCCCTTCGGGAGGTGGGTGAAGAGGCAGATCCTCAG